AATTAGGCCCTTCTGCTAGCTCAGCGGCTCCGCGCCTCCCCAAGGCGAATGTCCCCTGGCCGAAGTCCCCGCGGGGCACACCAGGGGCCTCTTCTCCAGCCCTCGGGGCCCCAGGCCCGGCCTTGCCTGCTCCCAGTTAAGCCCCGTGGCACAGCCTTGTGCCCACATGCAAGCCACCCCCCCATTCTGCCCCTTATCTGGGGACGTCCCAGGGCCCCTGTTGGATGGCTAAGACCCCCATATCACGGAGCCGTCCCTGTCACGTGTCCCTAGCACGAGCACCCGATACATTTGCACTCTCAGAGATCAACAATAACCCCTCATATATGGAAACAATTGTAATAATGTACTCTAATGAAAGTTAACACTTATGAATTCTTAATTTCTGGAACTTTTCATTTAATATTTTATTTTGTTTTTGAGACAGAGTCTTGCTATGTAGCTCAGGCTGGCTTTGAACACTGGACAGTCTTCCTGCCTCAGAGGTGTGCGCCCCGCTACCCTCCTGATAGTTTGGATGACGTCTGTTCCCCAAGGCGCATGTGTGGAAGCACCCCTGGGACTCAAGGGGTGGGGCCACGGGGGCGTGGCTATGGGGTGGTATTGGAGGGAGATTAGGCCCCTGAGTCCACCCTCTCTTCCTTTCTGCCTCCCAGTTGCCCCAGGCGTGGGCTTCCTTTATCTCCAGCTCCCAGCATGCTGCTGTGGCACCAACCCAAAAGCAGACTTCCAGAGAACTGTAAGTAGTAACCCTTTCCTACTTAGAAGTTATCTGTCTCACATGTTCTGCCACAGTAAGGGAAAGCTAACACGGATGTAGATATACATGTAGAGATAAACTGGTTGTAAATAATCAGTTCAGAGCTTGCTGTGGTGGTGCATACCTGTAATCCCAGCATTATGGGAAGCTGAGGAATGAGGATTGCAAGTTTGTGACTTAGCAAGACCCTGTCTTAAAATTCTAAAAAAAAAAGGTTGCGGATGTAGCTCAGTGCAAAGGCCCTGGGGTCAACCCCCAGTGCCAAATGCGCATGCGCACCTACACACACACACACACACACACACACACACACACACACACACGGCTCCCTCAACTATGGGCTCCTGGCAAGTCCAGCATCTGTCTGGCTGCCCAGCCAACTGGTGACTCAGGCAAGAGCCTACACGATTGTTCCAGCTCCAGGCTGCTGCCAGCAGAGCCCTCGTAGCTCTAGGAGGACAGGCCGGGTTCTCGGGTAGGATGAGGCTGCCAGTGTCAGGATGGCAGCCCGCTTTACTCCAGTCCACCAGCAACACGTGCTCAGGCACCTTAGGGTGAGGGCTGAGGTGGGGGTGGGGGGCTGTGGCCTGGCCGGGCTGATACAGAGAAGGAGCCAGGCTGCTGCCCCAGCCGGATCAGGGTTCTCCACTGCAACACCAACGTGCTATGCCCAGGGGTCTGCGCTACACAGGCTGCTGAGCATCCTCCTGGCCGATTTATGCGGCTTTGGGCGTGGATGACAGGACAATCACCGACTCATCAGAGCTAGGGGGACACAGGAACCCCCAGCTTCCCGCTTCCCAAGACTGCATGTTCACGAACTGCTCCGAGTTACCGACAGAGAAAACAGGGTAGGAGCCCAGGGCCGAAGAAGTACAGGAGATCCCGGTTTCAGCAAACTGAAATGGGTGTGTTATTTTTGTTTCTGTTTTTGTTTTTTGTTTTTTGAGACAGGGTCCTGCTATGTGTTCCAGGCTGGTCTTGAACTCACTGTGTAGCCTAGCCTCGAACTCATGGCGATCCTCCTGCCTCAGCTTCCCGAGTGCTGGGACTACAGGTGTGTGCCCCTCCACCTGGTTCTACATGGGAGCCATTGAGCAGCTGTGCTACGTGATTGTGGTGAATGTATGCCCTCTGTCCACCAGGAGACATTGCTTCCTGAGGTTCCCAGACATTCTGTGACCACGAAGTTCTTTAGGCCACGTCTGCCTAGGGGAAAAAGACCTTGAGCAGAGCAGCTCTGGCCAGCTCCTGCCAGGTCACAGGGAGCCTGGGTGTTATGGGGAAATCACCTGGTCCGGGAGGCTGTGACACAGCGGAAGGAAGCCATAAGCTGCAGACCTTGACTCACCGCCCTGGGCCGTCCCCATCCCCAAGCTCCCAGCCCGGGACAGGAGACACAGAACAGGGCCTCGGCTGATGCCGGCCAGCGGTGAGCTCTGGGTGGAACCTGGGGCTCTTGGGTTTCAACCTGGAACAAGAGGCCCACAGCACTGCTGATCTGGAAACCACGCTCTGTGCACAGGAGTCTATATTTTTATCATCCTGGACACTGGGCCCCTGAGGGATGAATCTGATCTGGGACACAGTGAGGCCACAGAGCCAGCGGATGCTGCAGCCTCATGCAGGGGCCCAGGCTTCCTGCCTCCTCCACCAGCAGGGCAGTGCAGGCCCTGCTGAGGGGACGCTGGCCTTTCCTGCCTTCCCCAGCTGGGAGTTTTGGTATCAGCAGCAGCCTGTGATTGACCTGGGGGAGCCTGGCATTCAGGATTTGGCCAGAATAAACCAGGCAGGCTGATGGGCAGGGGCTCAGCCCTGAGAGGCTGGGGAAGAGGGTACAGCTGCCTCTGGACAGCAGTGGCTGTCCAACTTGAGCACACATCGGATCGGTCACTGGGAGGGTTTGCAAAAGCATGCCTGGCTCAGCCCACCCCAGAGTGGCTGCCTAGGTCACCCAGGATGGGACTGGAGTCTTCATTTCCCACAGGTTGTCAAGAGGCTGCTGTGGCTGAGTCAGCTGCTCCACTGTGCCCCCAGGGGGAGGACACCCTGGGCCCCATGCTCACACTGCCCTGAACCCCTCCCTCTTCCTGGCTTCGGGCCCAAGAATAGAGGAGTCCCACAGGGCAGTCTGCCCTGTAGCTGGCAACCTTAGGACACCAGCAGAACTCAAAGATGGGTTGAGATACTGCTTTAATTTTGTTGTTGTTGTTTTGAGACAAGGTCTCTCCGTAGTCCAGGCTGGCCTCGAATTCACTACGTAGCCTAGACCGCCTCCAATTTGCTGTGATCCTCCTGCCTCAGCCTTCCAAGTGCTGGGATTTACAGGTGTGCACCACCATGTCCAGTTTGTATGTTAATTTTTAAGAGAAAGAACATAGAAGCTTGTGTTGTCAGCTTTCTATTACTGTAGCAAAAACCTGAGTTAAATCAATTTAAAAAGAGAAACTGGTAGCAGGCATGGTAGCACACCTGTACTCCTAGTATTCTGGAAGGCTGAGGCAGGAGGATCACAAGTTTGATCCCATTATGGCAACTTAGCACAACTGTTTCAGAAATTTAAAAAAGGGGGTCGGGGTGTACTCTGTGCCAAGGTCCTGGGTTGGATCCCAGTACCTCCACGCCCCCACACACAAGGAAATGATTTTTTGCCTCACGGTGCTGAGGCTTCAGTCCCTGGGTGGTTAGCGCTGCTGCTGCGCCACGTGTGTCTCACAGCCCCCTCCCAAGGCGAGACTTGGTGACCTCAACTTCCCACCAGGCTCAAGGGGCAAGGTGGGGACACGTGGCCTTGGGCGCAGCGTCCAAACACAGGTGGACCCGGGCTGCTCTGACGCCAGGCGTCCGGTCCCACGGCAGTGGCCTCCCCTCCACAGGAAGAGATGCCACTCGTATCCCGACTGCCCCCACAAAAGCAGAAGACGTAGTTAAGCGGCTGCGCCCTCAGCCACCAGGCCTGAGTGTAGACGAGAGGGCGAGCCGGCCGCCGTGCTCTTCTTCCCCGGGGCGTCTGGAAGCTTCCGGCTACACCTCGCCCCTCTCCCCTCCCCGAGCCTCCTGCTCCTCCGCCCAAGCCGTTAAAAATAAAAAATTTCCCTGCTATCTAGACGTCACACACACCCCGACTTCAGGGCTTTAGCGCTATGTGGCACCACCCAGCTGGGCTCCACAGAGGCGCGTCACGATTGGTCGGGATTGAAAGCTGTGGGCGGAGCCCCGGGAAGTGGGCGTGGCACCACCCGCCAGTGCCAGGTGACTGCGGCTCCAAGCTCCGCCCCTCTGGTCCGACCCGGCCTGCATCCTGTGGCAAGGTGACAACAGACTTGGCAGTGGCACGGCGAGGCCAAGGGCTTCCCTTCCTGCACCCAGTGTGGGTCTGGGCAGTCTTTATTTGAAAAATTATCATTTATTTTAGGGCAGAAATAAGAAAAAGGAGAAGTGCTCAAGGGGAAAAGGGTGCTTTGAGGGGACAAAAAAAGATACATCCTGCAAGCAGAACCGATTGCTTCAAGAACAAGAGGACAGTGGTCCAAGAGGCCATTGCTGCCGTCTTTTTGTCTTTGGTGGCTGACCAGGCGGCCCCACTTGCTCTCCTGCTAGAAGCCTGACATCGAGCTCCAGCTTCCGTGCGTTCCAGTCAGAAGACTGGCACCGAGTGCAGGGAACAGCTTGGTCCTGGCCCAGTCTTTCTGGGGTTGGTCAGAGGCGGTGAGTGCCAGGGTGGCCGTGTCTCTGGTGTCCCGAGGCAGCCCTTGACCCTCTGGACTCCAGCCAGGGCCACAGTGGCCTCCCCCGCAGGCCCCGGCTGGCCTTGGGCTGACAGCATCCCCTCGTCACACTGCCCCTCTGTCCAACGCACATGGGCAGGGGTCGAGGGGGGTGAGGAGCTGGGGCTGGAGCGGAGAGCAGCTGACTGTCCTTCCAGCCGGCCCAGAGGAGCCTCCTGCGTGTACTATCGGCGCCGTGATCAGAGCTGTAAGCCGGGCCCAGCTGACGCCCGGGATGCTTGGCACTGGAAATGGTTATTGCTTTACACATTGCTTGGCATCCAACCTGTTACTTGGCTAAGGACAAAGCACTCCACTCCAGCTCCAGCTTTCCTTCCGTCCTACAACCCCTTCCCTCAAAGGGGCTGCCTCTGTCCAAGCCCTTTACTGCGGGTCCTGTGTGCTCCAGAGAACGTGATACAACCCAAGAGCAAAGCCAACTGTGGCCAGGCCTCATGCTGGTCAGGACTGGGGACGGTGCTCCCGAGGTCCGCACTCCCATGGTCTTCAGAGGCAGAAATGGACCCAGGTGAGAAATTCAGCAACTGGCGACCAGTGCTGGCCGGGTGGCCTGTGACAGACTCTACCTGGGTTTCCAGGTCTGCAGGTGGCCTTGCCAAGCCCCCCTGGCAGGCAGTCGCCCCCTCTCCCAAGGCGTGGGGAACAGGGCGCCTCTGTCCCCATACAACTGCTCCTGCTCCTTCCAGATAAAGGAAACCCATCACTGTCAGAGACCATGTCTTTTTTGGCTCCTATTTTCCTTTTCAAATCAAATTACCCCACTGACACAAATTTAAGCAAACAGTTTCATTTCAGGTCACAGGGACTCAGGGCTGCAATCAAAGATCTGAATGAAATTCCTAGATAAACACAGTAATTAGGAGCATAATAAAAGCAGAATCAAACTGTCCCAGCCTCCCATAACACTAAAAGGGAATTTGATTCATTTTAAAGTGATATTTGGGCTTCACGTATAAGGGGTTCATTTTCATAAAGGCAGAGAAAATAGAGATCGTTACAATAACCACACGAGACTAGGAATGTAATTATAAAATAAACCATACCCTAGCAGGCAAATTATTTTAATGTGTTTGCAAGAATTGAATATTCTGTATGGAATTAAAATCAAAGCCAAAAAAAGCATTGTGCAGAAAATTAATTAAGAGGAAGACACAAAACTTTGTCATAAAATTACAAATACAAAATGCAACAAATGAAATGCAGATTCCAGATTTTAGTGACATTAGTAACTAGAACAGAAACAATGAGTTAATCATCAAAGTAACTAATTTAAAAAGGGACAGCCCTTGAGCTAACCCTCCTCTGCCTACCAGGAATCCTGACCACGGCTTTCCAGTAACTTCCACAAGCTGGTGCTGCTCTTAAGAGGACTCTGTCCCTACACACTGTCCCTACCCCACCAAAATGTGTGCATTCATTCAACTCTTTTAGCTAAGGCAACTGAAGGAGAATTTCTTGACATCGCAGCCCCCTCAGAAACCATTGACTGCATCCACGTAAACAAAAAGAAATGAACAACCCCTCCTGCTGAGGACAGTGTCTCTCCATTGCCATGGGACTCACTGCTTTTATTTAAAAGATGGGGTGGAAGGGAACAGACCAGACCTGGCCATTTGCTGCTGGAGAGATGGCCCACGAGACAGGGACATGTGGCCAGCCCGTGGGTGTCCCTCCAGTGCCACACAGCGTGGAGGCAGCCATGCAGGCCACTCAGGCCCTCAGAAGGGTGTCCCTTGTCCTCTGAGCTACCAGGCCTAGGAGAGACCACTCGCAGCTCCACGTAGCCTTAGCTCAGCCACAGAGATCACTGAGGCCAAGGCCACAGAGGCGAGTCCTGGTCCTGACCACAGGACGCTGCTCATCCAGACAAATCCCCGAGCACAGGGGGTGAGGTGGGGGCCCTGGCAGGCAGACTACAAAATGGAGATTAGCAAATTGTATCAAAAAGTATCAAAACATTTCAAAAAACTCTAAAAACAGCCAGGTGTGACAGGTGCAGGGTCAGGTGCCTAGGCATCTATGCCGCTGCCCATGTATGCTGCAGAAGACTAAGCTGGGGCCGATGCCAGCCACTGTCCTGTGTGCAGCGGCACCCCGGAGACACCAGGAGGCCTGGCTGCAGCCGCACCGTGCTGAAAGGTCCCTCTTGGCGTAGGGCTGGGAACTGGGAACCACGCGGTTAATTCCCCCGAACTCAGGGCACAGCCCCTGGCCTCAGATGGACGCCACTGCTCCCTGGCATTTGCTCCCCCAAAGTTAGCTTCTGGAGGCCCTGCAAAGTGCCCTTAGGTCACTGAATGGCTCAGGGGAGGCAGAGGGGCATGCAGGATACAGATATACACACATGGCTCTGCCCTGATCGATTAAAGTCCTGCCTGGCAGCCTTGACAAAATGGCAGAATGTTAAAACTGCCGGGCGAGAATTTCTGGGGGATGATTCTTGCTGTACTGCCCAAGCTGACCCCAAATGCCTGGGCTCAAGCAGATCGTCCTGCCTCAGCCTCCTGAGTAGCTGGGACTATAGGTGCGTGCTACATCTGACCCCTCGATACATGCTTGAAGCAGATCTCTGCAGGTAGCCAGCACCCTTTCACTTTCCACTGTTTGTCGCTTTTATTACCACATTCATGTCTTACACAAACAAGGCTCCAACTCAGGCGAGGACTGAACCTACAGCTAATATAAAGCTATAACTTTTAATTCCTTTAAAAACAAGAGCAATTAAACCCTGAATAAAAGCCATCCTGATTTTGAAAGATCAAGGAAAAACAATCCAGGTGTTCTCATAGCTCCAAGAAACTCAGAGCACAGACAGGTTATGGTTTTTTGTTGAGACAGGGTCTTGCTGTGTAGTTCGGGCTGGCCTTGAACACACTATGCAGCCCATGCTGGCCTCCAACTCCAAACAATCCTCCTGCCTCAGCCTCCTGAGTGCTGGGACTATGGACAATTTACTGTAATGGCAGACGTGTTTTTGTGAGACTGGTTGGCTGCCACAGTAGCCCAACCAACTGCGCGTTCCTGAAGGCTACCAGCTTCCGCCCAGCCTGCCGCTCTGTCCACCATTTCACCCCAGCTGGAGAGCATAGCACAGTGGATTTCCAGCTTTGAAGCCCAGGCAGCAGAGCTGACCCAGGCATCCCACAAGTCCTGCGCCTCTGAAACACCTAGCTGTCACTAGCCGCATTCATGGCCCCAAGCTGCCTCTCCCACAAGGCACCAGAAAATCAGGAGTGAGGCCAGAGCTGCCCCAGGCAGGCTCCAGCAGCAAAAGCAGGGAGAATGGGCTTAGGCTAAAACTTGGGGGCTCGCCTCTCGTGGGGTCAGGGCCACCCTATGTGTGCCAGCTGCTCTGAGTCCAGGGCAAAGGCCTAGCCAAGCTGGGGTGAAGATCTCACAGCGCCCTCTGCTGGGCCTTCAGTCAACTCTCTACAGAAACGCCTTTTGCAGAGGTCTGGGAGGAGGAAGGAAACGCAAGGCTCACGGCTGTTTGGAAAAGCTGGCTAGGCGGCTAGCAGGGAATGCAGGCCTTCTCAGAGCCTTCAACACACTCAGGCTGAAGGAGCTGAGCTCTCTGGCCGGGTTAGGTGCCTCACAGAACTCCTTGCAGTCTCAAAGCCTCTGGGGACTGCCACATGCAGGTGATTGAACACGTACACTGCTTGCACACTAGTGACACTGGCAGTGTCTGGGCACGGAGGCTTTTGTCTCCCCAGCCGCCCATCTGGCGTATGAGGGCATCTGATGATCCAAACCAAGTCGGCCCCACGGGCAGAGGAGCAGTGGAAGTGGGCGTGGTTTTCTTCGGCTGTTGTTGTTCACATTAATCTCCTCCTTGAGATCAGACCCCTGCTGGGTATAGATCACTGCTGCCCCCCTGGGTCGCCCTCCCCACAGCTCTCAGTCAGGGCCTCCCGAAGCAGTCCAGGCACTGGGAGGGGCACTGGACGGGAGGCTGCCCACCAGCAAGGAGCCTATGCGAGGACGCTGTCACCAGGAGGAGCCCTGTCTTTCAGGGGATGAGGGACACAGGCAGGCCTGGTCCTGTCTGCAGAGCCCTCACTCTTCAGGGGCTGCAGCCAGAGGGAACAAAGCATCCACCCTTCCTTTCCTGAGAAATAAATGTAGATCTGGGGAACTCCATACATCGGTATGAGAGCCAGGAGGTTCAGGGCAAAAAAACTAACAGAATAATGTTTATAAAGAGCATCATGTCATCTCCCCTTCTTTTTCTCATTACCTGTTACTTTTCACAATTCAGAAAGGTGCCCAGCCACGATACAGGGACAGAAACAGCAGCAGCAGCACCCTGAAGGAAGTCCCTGTCCTTCATCCGACTGTCCACCCAGTGTGTGTCCTCACTTGAAGCCTTGTCAGCGACTGCCAAACATGGCCAGTGCTCCAAGCTCAAGAAACTGGTGGAAATACAGTCTTGGGGCTTCCCTGGAAGTTTTATTTATTTTGGGTTTTTTGAGACAGGGTCTCGCTCTGTCGTTCAGGCTAAAGTCCAATGCATGGTGATCCTCCTGCCTCGGCCTCCCAGGTGCTGGGATTACAGGTATGCGCTGCCACGCCTGGCTCTTTCCCTGGTGGTTTCCTATCTGACAATTTTGAGGTGGAGCCCAGGAATCTATTACTCTTCAAAGCTGAACCGAAATGTCCCTTTAAGGCACCGAGTTTCACTGTAGAAACTGCTGTGTCCCTCAGGTGCGAGCTGCTCCTGGGTTGGCCCGAGCCCTCGTGCATCTGCCACGGCGGGAGGCAGCCCACGCGGGCGCTCAGGCACGTTGACTGTCCCGGTCCCAGTGTGATTCTTCAAGCAGGACACGGAGTAAAGTCCACGTTGACTGGTGGCTGTGACATTGGAGAGATGGCAGGAGTTATTAAAGTGAAAAGAAGCGCTAAGGAGCGCAGGGTGCGTCCCGGGCACCAGGAGCCACCAGGGTGTGGGTGGCCACGGGTCACTGGCCACGGTCCTGGTGCCGCTTGCCCTTGCCCTTCTTCTTCTTGTCCTCCAGCCGCGGCTTGAGGGCGCACACGCAGGCC